AGGACTGATTTGGGTGTATTGTTTTCAAAGCGCAGGATCGACTACGTGGTTGTGGTAGGTATTTGGTTCTTTTTAGATTTGTGAAATAATGTACATTAGATTTGATTTGGTACACGTTTAAAAATAATTTGGTAGGAGCAAATTAATATTTCCTTTCACTGTTGAAAGATATGTCACAATGAAAATTGGGATGGATATGAGGAGTAGAGATTTACCTTAGATTGGAATATGACATGTCACATAGATGCACTTGTCACATATAAAGGAATAACTGACTTGCTAATACTGTACCTTGATTTGCATCATTAGTTCTCTATGAGGTGGAAATTGAAATTCAATTAATACACAATGGGACCTCTCTTCTGCGAGTATGAAAGGAAGGAAACAGGCAGGTGGAATGTAAAAACTAAATACAGAAACTAGTTGCATTAACATCTCTCTAGCCACAGAAGAGATTCTGTGATGAGTAGATCTTGACAAAGCTAGATTAATGTGCTAGTGTACAGCTGTCATGCTGCTTTCTCAATCTTTTTCACACGCGAAGCAGTACCTAAAGGGAAACTAGATATTGCTTCAGCATAGTTTTGCACAAAGAAAAATCTTTGTCAAGCCAGTACGGCCAGAGCACTGGAAGGGAAACAATCCCTCTTATTACTGAATTAAAATAAAATGTTTTGGTTTACTTTTTAAGCCATTCTGCTTTATGTTGTCAAATCAACATGTGATTCTGGAAATAAATCTTAGCAGAAGTCTAGTTTGGTTGGGAAGTTGGCTTAGCTCTTGCATTCTCACTGAGTGTAATGTGTCTTTTTGTTCTAAAAAAAAACTCAGACCTTTAGTAACTATCCCCCCAAGACAATGACATTGAGAGAATAAAAGTACTAACGACGCTTCATGGTGGGATACGTCTTACCAAACAGAGACATAAATGTTGATCTGTGAAATTGACATGTTTCTTGAACTAAGCTGATGTAAGCTGGACTAAGATGCAGATGCATTTCAAAGATATGCTTTGCATAGCCTGTGACTTGTCATTCAATGTAAAGGGACACAGTTTTGTTAGAATTGAGAAATGATGCGATAGACAATAAATAAGCATGATAATTCAAATAGCTATAAAGCAGAACATGCAGTAAAAATACTTTCAGGCAACTCATTGACTTAACAGGCTGAGAAACAATGCTACAGGTACGTTCAATTAATCATATGTCATATGCCTCCTGGAGGGTGGTACAAGATACTATGGGGCAAATATAATGTCTGAGAACTATGGTGGGCTAATAAAAGTCTGTTTTTATATCAGAGGTGCTATAATCATGTCTAATTAGACTTCCTTATCTTTAATTTCAGGCTGTGCTAAATTTAACTTTCAACTACACATAGCCTATCTCCTGCTATTTGTTCTTCCATGTACTGTATTCTTTGCCTTTTTCCTTTTTTTTTTCTCTCCCTTCCATTTCCTGGGCTGTCAGTGTGAATGAGTCACTTTTACAGTCATTACAATGTCACTTTATGGCATTTTCTGAAACTGTCTGTTTCTGGCTACTACGGAAATGCTAGCTTTTGTTTTGCTTTTTGCCATTAACTGGTTAGAGATAAAAAACCATGCTGAAAAAAACAGCTGTTTCCAAACATTCTGGTAACTATAGAAATTGTGCAGAACGGTCTGCTAAATAACCATACATTAAAAAGTTCTCAGAGAGTGCAGCAAGTTTTCTATTTCTCTGGCCTTTTCTGCTAAAAGCAGATAATTTTTTGTTATTTTTTTGCATTTAGGTAGAAGGGTAAAAAAGTCCTGGTTCTATAAGACCAAATAATAAAGATCTTCATCGTGGAATTTTTCTTATTGTTCGTGGTCTGCTTTGTCTAGCTTGAGAGAAGCAAGTGGCATTACTCACAAATGAAGGAGTTTAATTAGTAGCCAAATCACTGCATTACCACTTAGTTCTGCTGTCAGGCAACTTAGATGTCTGTTTTCAGATACCAAAACATCTCTAAAAGCTGGTTAGTTCTTGAGCAACAACCTGCCAGTTACTAAGGAACCATTCTTAAGAATTCAAGCGAATTTGCCTTACTGATATTTTGATGTATAGAAAAACCAGTATTAATGCTGAAATGACCCCTGGCTGTTCTTGATTAGAACCCTGTTGGAGTAAGGAGCTGTATGTGCTCCCCAAATTTTACACGTTCTGGTCTCAATATTCAGGCCAATTAACATGGTATTCAGAACATTTCCTAGCATTCCCATGATGTGCAATCCTTCACTGAAGTTCTTTGATATTTTACTGGGCTGAATGACATAAATCAAGTGTTTTGAACTGTGTTTCCCATATTAATGCAATGAGAAATAAAATGAATTAAAAATGCATGATAAAATAATAAGAATAAAAAATCAATGTCATGCTTGCAGCTCTAAAACTCTTTTACTGGGCAACTGAATATGGAGTCAGAAAACTTAGGCTTTTCTAGAGGGCTAGGATTGTTTAGTTTAAAAAGCCAGGTTGATTTTGATCCCGGATTTTACTGTTCCTTAAGGAAATAAAGGGTTTAAGGATTTAATCATTTCACTACTAAAACATGCACCTTCTTCATCCAGTTTCTACCTGTGCATGATGTAGTGCTCTTGGGAGTGTATGACCTCGGGTGAAAGATAGCCAGAAGAGAGACAATTCTTGCCTGGCCAGTAGAACTTTGCAATAAAATAGACATTGAGTTAGATAACAGTTTCTCAAAACAAAGAATTTAGACTAAAGCATCAATAAGTCCTATTTCTGACATGATCCTCTTATTAGGGAAATACAGGAGTTAAATGCAATAATAGGAATACCATAATTTAGAAAGATTTTTCTTCTCTGTAGTAATGCACTAATTTATCTTCAGAATCACATGGTGACTATTGGTCATGGTAGCTCATGGTGTACATAATTCTGTTTTGAAGACTTGTCTCCAGATGGAGAAGAAACTTATTTAGAATTTTCACTTTGGGGTGATTGCCTTACATTTTTCTTCTACTTGGAAACAGACTTGGGGGAATGTTGGGTGACAATAAAAATGGATATACTAAATTTTGCAATTTAAAATCTGTACTGCATAGATTCCTAGAAGAAGGAATAAAGACCTAAACTAGAATGATAATACTGAAATTGGCATTTCAGTAAAGACTTGTTTTTCCTCTAATAGTGTATTATTTTCAAACATGATCAGTGAGATAACACTGCAATTACTTGTTGGCAGAAAGGTAGCATCAGTAAAAAGAGATTCTGAATGCACATATTTACCACACGTAAGTAAGAGACTTCTAAACAGACAAATAAAAGAGCAAAGCAGATAATTAAGTAGGGTACACAAGCAAATGAAGACAATAGCATGAATTATTTCAAATGAATCTTTTTTGAAATGTTAGAATGAACTGATGAGTGCCTAGCACAGTGCCATAGTTGGTGGTTTTCATTTTTGTATTTTAGTAATGTTGTAAGGTTATCCTGCGGTCAGCCAAGTGAAACATACCCTTTTAGTACAAACACTGCTAGTTAGGAAAACAGGGAATGTGCAGGGGGAGAACATTCATCGGTTGTAGAGTGAGAAGAGAAAATTCTCTCTCTGATTTGGCATTGAAGTACAAGTGCAATTTCTGATTCTGGCACATATTCTGAGCAGCTATTACAAATTGGTGGGGGGGGGGTTCTGTGTGTATTTCACCCTTCTGAGACATCCTTGCTTGCTTGTGTTTTTTTAGATACTACTGTGACATTTTACTTATAACTTCTTAGCCAAAGATACACCAGTCAGAAAAGTGTAATCTCTTAAAAATGACTCCTATTTGCCACCTCCTGTTATAAGTTATATGTCTAAGTATATAAGTAAAATGTCCTGTAGCATCTCTTCAGCTAATACAAAGCTTAATACAAAGCTATATGCAAACATCAGTGACAAGCTCTTCTCTCCTCACAGACTCTCTTGCCCTCGTTGTTTAAGCATGTTTGTATCAGCTGTTTTCATAGATGTGAATACAAAAACACTAAAGACAAAATAGTGCCTGTAGGCAAGGAGCTTCCTACTTATTAAGATTTCTGTGAAGCTCATATTAAACAACTTAGCCAAAGTTTAGTATTATACTTAAAGAGAAAAAGGCATCTGTGGGGAAGGAGATATTGAACCTATTCCCTAATTAGATTTGAGGGTTCCCTAATGAACTTTTAATTAGTTTGGAAATTCTAAAAAATTCTTTCTAAAAATTCATTTCTAAAAAATTAAAGCAAAGGTTTTCCTGAGGTGCTTTCATACATGTGTGTACAACTTGACCTTTGGCAGCTTGAACTTGCCAATAGCTATGAAATAAAGATGTTTCCTTTGTGTGAATGACTACAGCTATACTGCTCTTACATAGAAAAGAACAGCAGTACACTTATTAATTAAAGTATTTGATATTAAAAGGGTCTGCAAGATACAAAATACTGCTTAAAAATTGAAGTCCATGTTGCAGAAAGTTTACTGACTGCTGTGAATTGCAATTTCAAGGAACATGACCTGACATCTATAAAATGATGAAATACTTGTTTAAAAAAAAAAAACAAAAAACCCCCACAATCCTATGCTTGACAATGAATCCTAGGTCTTCAGATAGAGTAAAACTTATTTGGAAGATTTAAAATTGTCAGTCAACCATGCTTGTGCAGTTGACATTAAAAACTATATTAAAAAGCATTATGTTTTAATTACTTACAGATTCTGGGAGATTGTTTAAAATTGTTGCTTAAATTAAAAATAATAGCAATGCATCTAGTCTAGATGGGATGAGAGGCTTGCAATCAGCTGAATACAAACAAAAAATCTTGTCCTGTTCCTCAATGCTCTTACAATGCTATGCTAGCATATTTTATATTCTTTTGGAAGCTTGTAGTGTGCATATATACCTGAAAGCTATGTACTACCTTGCTAATAACTTACACAGAATTGTTGAGGAACTTGATTCAAGTTTACGTTGTCATTTTTTTATTCAGGAGGATGAAAGGAAGAAAGAGGGGATGTTTCTTACCTTTAACCTTTATCGTGCTGTTTGTCTGTATCACTGGGCATGCAGCTGATGACTCTGATGATGGGGAAGAAGAGGATGTTCTGGGTAAGACTTTACGGAAAACTATCTCGCATTAAAAAATAAATAAGTAAAAAATCCCAGCATGATAAAATGCACTGTAGATGTAATTCTGTACTTGGAAAATGTTCAAGGTAACTTGAAAGTTGAGCTAAGTGTAAAACAGTGGTAAAAACAAACTTGCCTCTAAATAGTTGGGAGCAGCTTGGATTTTGCATTAAGCTCTAACAAAATTGTTAGCCAACTGTAAGGGCTTTTGTTTCTCTTGCTTTTTGAAGCATCTAATGCTAATCAAACCTGGTATTAGATATCAAAATCACTCCCTCTTTACCTCTGCTTTAGGATCTCTGGGAAACTTCAGTGCTGAGGGAAAGGAATGTACAGGTATAACTCAGATTTTGTCTTCGTATGCGAAGAGAGTTAGAAACATGATGAATAGCACTGTAGGTCTATATTGCTCTGTCCTGTGTGCAGCTCTCTTCAGTCACAGTTTATCTGCAAAGTTTGTTCTAAAGATAATACAATTCTGGATTGCCCTGTTTGTTTTCCTTGGCCTCACATAAGTTCTCCGTATAATTCTATCTGATCTGTTATAGATGGATAAACAAAAACTTAGCAGTTAGTACTTTGTGTCAAGAAAAATAATGTCAGAAGTGTGACTTAGAATGAGGGAGTTTCTTGGATTCTCCTACTGCTACGAGGCCATTGTTCACTGTATTTTCACTTGATTGATATGGTTTACGCTTCTATACTGGGTATCAATGTAAAATATATTCTAGTTTCATCACAAACAATTTTGAGAAAGCAGATGAGAAAGAAATACACTTTTTGGGCCATATTAAAATGATTTTTTTCCTTATAGAAAATGTTAACTTCTTTCTTACACTGCAGAGAATGATGTAGTGAATACCTCTCTCATTTGACAGGTCTAATTTTGAAGCATAACAAAGAATACAGCTAAGGGAAACCTTTTGTTATTGTTTTTGGCAGATTAGCTGCACACATCTTGTCAAATTTCCATCCAGATTGTTTCTTTCTTTAAGTCTTTTACAGCAGTAATTCTTGGGACAAAAACTATTAATTATGCAGCTGCTGCAAATGAAGGGAGTGCTTTAATACCACATTGATATTAGTCACGACATTTTAAACTATAAGCCATTCCATGTTAGTGCTATACTTAGTATGCTAATGTAGTCAAATAAATTCTTATGAAAGGAATTTCTTTCTCTTTAACCTTGATGTACAGAAATGCCTTTCTTGTTTGAGGGCCTACCAGTATTCTATTTCCTTTTGTTGTCACACAATAGGTGACAGCACAAGGGCAGTCTGGCAAAACAGCTTCTGACATTTGTGTTTCATTGAATTTCTCCGTGTGGGAAAAATGGCACCCACTGACATGGATGGACTCTTGCTGAATGTTTATGGAGACCAAGCACTGGATGTGAGCGCAGTGAGGTGTAGTGGGTGGCGCGTTTCAACAGTTCCAAAAGTGACAGTGGTTACCTCTGCAGGCACAGATTTTAAGAGCATGGCATGCAGGCTTTTCTTCACTGCTGGTGAAAATGCATAACTAATGGTGGAGACTATGTTGACAAACATTGTTTTTAGCTGAGAATTTGCTCTATCAACTGCTATTGCACTCTTTGTGTCTGTTGTAGTTTCCATGGAAATAAATAAGAGTCATTAGTTTCAGACCAGCCTCCGTATTTTGAGCATGTGCAATGTGTGCAGGCACATTTGTATCTATGTGAATTGATGTCCAAATACTCGTGTTTGCCTACTCTTCTGTTGTTTCTTTCTGAGAAACAAACCAAATTTCATGTCATTCATAGTGAGCTAAGTGTCCCTAGGTGTGAAGTAGCGGGGAAGAACTCTGTCCCTTTTCCCAGACTCAGGATTGATTCAGTTTTCATAAATCCTTTTGAGACTTCTTTCCATAGAGTCACTTGGTTAACGTTAGATGAAGAGGGCATGGCCTTCTGGGGCATCACAGGGTACTTATTTTAGTTAAAGTATGGTAACTTACTAGCACTCCTAAGAATACAAATACCTCTGCTGATTCATTAATTGCAAAAAATGCTATAGAAATAGTCATCGTGTCTGCAGCAGATGTCAGTATATCTGACAGTGGTAACAGTGTCAGTGACTGCAGAGAAAAAGCCTGAGGAGGTAAGCAAAACAATAATTTAGTTTTGTGGTTTTGGTGGGAACTAAGCTTGGAGTCCAGAAAGTTCCTAAGATAAACTGTACCAAGCCATCTGCTCATCATTTTTGTATAATTTTGCAACTCTGCTTGCACGTTATTTCTGTTTTGATAGCCCAGAACATCGGTGGGGCAAAATGTAGCAAGCAAAATGATCTAACTTAACCCCATGTCTGTAATTCTAGTAGTAAGTTTTCACCATGCCTTCTAGAATGGACTGAGTCTCTGGCACAGGTCATTTATGAGGTCTTATTACTTGTGTGCCAAGAAAATAACGTTTATAAACCAGCTGCCAAGTCACACCTGTCCCCATTTGAGTTGGATTGGTTTCTGTGCTGCTCTAAGTGTTTGATGTTAACCTTTTAGTAGTTAATCCAAATGTTACTTAAACCTTTCATGTTCTGAAGGCATTTTTCACCCTTTTACTGATTAAGGGGATTCTGAAGTTTCATTCTGCAATGTAGTATCCTCTCAACTTTTATATCTGAGCCTTTTCAAGTCCCTTCCAAAGGGACTCTTTGTGTTGGAGAACTTTAGATCTTTGGAATCACTTGTGACATCTAAATCTTGATTCTTCAGGATAATCTAGATAAGGAAATAAGCAAAATTCAGAAATCTGTTTGGTAAGCTGAACTCCATAGGAATTTTAATGAAACTCCTGTCTCTTTAATTCATTTAATGCATCCACATTTCGTATTAGAAAATCTTCAGTAATATTTTTAAATTTGTCGTCTTGGCTGTGGAATCTGTAAATATCATTTCACTAATAAGGAAATAGCTTATTTTAGGGACTGATTATTTTGAAATTAGACATCAGTCTGTCAATTGTCAGTTTTAAAAAAAGAAGATTAACTATCTGCTACAATTTTTGTGCCAGTGGTAAATATGTAATAAGTGTTAATCTACATGCTATGGGTTAAAAGATTTTACTGGTGAAACATATTTCCTCTAAGTATAATAGTTTTAAATGCCCCGAATGGAATTAGAAGAATAAGCTTCCATTGACGTCAGTATTTATATGGATTTATCTCAGCTGTGCATTTCATTTAAAAAGATTTTATAATAAGGATGATTTTATACATTAAATCTAGATAGCCACAGAGTGGGGTAGCTAATAATGTTTATTTCTGTGGATTCTCTTAGTTAAAAGTGGAAACTTACTCTTGTTAGCAAGAGGAAGCTTTGTAATGTTCATGTAAACGCTTGCCATCACTATTTTCCCCTCCTTTCTGAGCAATTGTGTATAGTGCTACTTTTGCACATACACATTAAGACACATCAGTGTTCTGATTAGCTCTGGCAGAGTGAGGGAAAGATTTCAACTCTGTTCTTCTTGTTGCTATTACAAATATATAAGCTCTGTAAAGCTTTCAAAATCCTCTAGGGTAAAAATACTTCCTTTTGGTTACACAAAGCAGGAAAAAATCCAGTTGTTTGTTTGTTTTTGTTTTTTTTTAACACTTGAAAGATCTAATGCAAGAACAGCAAGATCAAAGAAATTAAGACAATATGATAACCTTTTGGTTATACCACATGGCTTTATGTGCCAGTAACATTTAATCTGGAAGGGGAATGGTGCCCTCTGCAGGGTTGTCTTGCCATGCTACTTATGAGAAGTTTTCATGAGCAGTGTTTGCTATTAGATATGCACGGGAGGGAGAGAGCACAGCAGACACTCTTTCTTCCTTTTATTTATGCAAGAGTAATCAGTGTGTCTTTGGGAGCTGCCAGAATTTTCTCAATGTATTTGTTGTTCAGAATTTGTTGCGAGCTCCTGAATAAATCACTATCTGTAGCTGTTCTAGAGAGTTCTGATAAGGACTGAAAGTTTAGAATATGAGCTCTTTTGGTTGATAACTGTAACCACTTTTCCATTTGATTGAATGGAACTGTTCTTCCAATGGAGATGATGACCTTCTTTTTACATCTCTGTTAATTTGTTCAGAGCTTTAAACACATATATTAGGAAGTGTTTTTCTAGCAGAACGGGCAAGCAATCTGATTTTGAAGTTAAACTCTACAAGGAAGCAATCCAAGTTCATAACGGTTGTCCTTTTTCCCTTTATCACAGGTGTTCCTTTACCACCACTGAAACTGGGGCATTCAGACTGTGCCCTGAAAGCAGATGAAGGTCCTTGCAAAGCAATCCACATGCGCTATTACTTCAACATTCAGAGCCGTGAGTGTGAAATCTTTGAATATGGTGGATGCCACGGCAATGCGAACAACTTTCTAACTTTGGAAGAATGTCAGAACAAATGTGTGGTAACAGGCCAGTACCCATTCTCTTCTTCTTCTATCAGTTCTTCTAACTGTCATCCACAAACCTTTACAAAATGTAAAGTTCTGGTTAATATAGTGATATGATGTTTCTAATTCTGATGTTCCCAATTATTATACTGTGTTCTAGTCATCTGAATTATTTTAGATTCTGCAAGCAAACATTCTGGATTTGGAAAGATAAATTGTGATTTTCTAGCTGATCTGTGAAATAGAGAGCAATGCAAGAAAGCTTATTTTCTGGCTAGGGTCATGTTTTGAATGACTTGTTAAAATGAAATTGATTTTGACACTGGGTTAAACTGGTGGTCAGCACATTGATTGCTTTGAAAATATCACACCCAATTTCTCATTCTACATTTCTGCTTCCTTGAGAAGCTGATAGAGCTGTTGAAAATCTTGAACATCTGCTACGATTCAACACAATTGGAACTGCAACAATAATTCTGTTTTAAAATATCAGTTACAGCTGTTGGGCTTAAAAGATCTGTTTTGTTGGAATTGAATTAATCATTAGAAAGAGGAAAATGAGATACAAAATACACAGCAACTGCCCTGTAAATACTGTTTTGCAGTTAAAAATGATGGTAATAATTATTTAAGGCCTTCAGCATTGTGAAGGTTTTACAGAGAAAAGAAAGCAGGTTTTCTTTCTTACCTGTAAAGATTGATCCAAAATAGTGTGGTTGAATAGAGCTCAAACCTCAGTGCAATTTTATGTATATGTAATAGCAAGGTTTAACCTGATATTGTCTATATAAGCAAAGTTTCACTGATGGGAAAATATCAGAACAGCCAACAGAAGGAAAATATGTCCTTCCTAACAGATTTTGTCTGGTCTTTATCACTTTGATCTTTCCACCAAAAAGACTATATGCATTTTGTTTCCTCACTAAATATTCACAGTTTTCTGACCTGCTGGGATCCCCATGCTTTCGTTTATTGTACCTGGCACTATAGACAATCTACTCAAAAGAAAAAAAGGAAAACAAAATGCCATAATAATGAACGCTGATTTCAGTTATTTTTCTAAGAGATTATATTTTGATTTCAAACAATCTCATGCATATAGGACTATTCCTATCAGGATGAAAGTAATAGCACAAAGTTCTACCAACACTTTGTCAAAGTGAAAAAGATCAGATGACTCCATTCTTTAACTGAATGGCAATTTTTTTTAGACTTTCACATGTTTATTGGCATCTGATAAAGGTCACTAATGAACCTTGAAGATAAGATGTGCTTCATGGAGGAAGCAGCAAGACCAGCTTTAGTCTCATTCCGTTTGCAGGAGTTGAGTCATATATGTGTAAATGTAACCCTAATGATAGTAAGGCTTAAACTGGAAGGAGATCACTGAGAAATAATGATTTGGATATCATAATTAGTTACTAAATAACATCATCTAGCATTTTGCATTTAAGAAAACATACAGTATAAAGAAAAGCATCTTTCTGAATATGAACATCTTGCAGTTAATGCTTGCACATGTTTAGTCAGTGAAACTGTGCTACTTGGGTCTGAATTGTGTCATAGCTCAGCTTTTACTGAACTGACACAGAAATCAAAGAATCTTCATATCACTGATTCAATTTATTTTCTTGTTAAAGTCTCAGATATTGCTAGAATTGCAGATTAGTATACAAAATTCCTGCAAAAATGACATTTGCTTCTTTTTCTTCTTATATTTCTACAGATCTGTCTGTCTAAAGTTCTAGCTGTTGATTCTGTTCAGAAACTGAGCCCTGCGATATTTAAGAGCAAATGGCCCTGTGCTGTCTAGAGCACAGCTTATAGTCAGTAGTAGGTTTCAAGATTTCATTTATTACAGCCTAAACACTAATTCTGCCATGTCTATATTTTGGTTATTTTCTTCAATCAGAATATGCCACTTCTAACTGAAGAAAGTAGAGATTTAGTGCTTGAGGTTTAGAAGGCAGGAGTTGGTCTTGCCTCCCAAGCAGGCTGAAGCATCCACCAAACTGAATCTGAAAGACATACCTTTAACATTTCCTAATCATCATTCTATTGAAGGTTTCTGGCTAGGGAAACTAATGTTGCTCCTCTTAATCCAGACTGGGCTGATTTTTCAGTAGGAATTAATATTATTTGTTCTGTGTGTTTATGTATGTAGAAAATGTACCCCCATCAGAATTGAATGATGATATTTTAGTAGCGTTTAAAGAAAATGTAGTTTGATTGAATTTCTACCCAGAAGATTTGCTTTGAAAATTTAACACAGATTATGTTTCTGGAAATTTTTTGTTTGTTTATTTTATGAAAATTAAAAAGTACACAAAGAGTAAGGATGAAGATTGCAGAAGGATCTTATGTTACTGCTTACATAACAAGGACGAATATAACAGCAATTCAAGTTTTTCCAGAAAGAATTTTTTTCATCCTTATGCTTTAATATCATAAACAGCACAAGGAACACTTAACTCTGACTGTATGTGGCATAGCAAAAGGAATTACCCTGTGGGAGATTGTTGATGAGATCTTCTCTGAAGCTGCTGGCAGTATCAATAGCTACAGCAGCTGAGCTAAGCAAGTCTGCTGATTAAATGTCTCTGAAGGACTAAGATCATATAATTCAAGATTCTGACTCCAGTAACATGAGGAATTTGCCAGTTCAGTTCAATATGGGCACAATTCCACTATTTTCCGTATCTTCTAGTTTCAAGTATATCAGTTCTTCCCACGTGAGAAAACAATACTTCAGTCCTTCGTACCAAGATTTTGTGCTGCTTCACTAATAAAGAGAATAAAGAAAGGGAAGAGGTGTTATATTCTTATTCTTTGATGCTCACAGTCACTGTGAAGCATTCTGGTTTTACAGGTGAGACTTTACATCATTGTTTTTATTAAATATTTTTCTTTTTATTTATATTGCAGAATTGCCTCTGGAGGTGATGCTAGCAAAAATTAAGAGAGGTAATTATGTTTATGTAAGTAATCTTAGACAATATACAATAAGGTATTTAGCTGCTTTGGGTAGGTTATATATTGTTTCAAGCTGTCTCCTAAGCAGAACAGCATTGTTTATACTGAGGTGAGTTATCTAATCTTTGCCCATTTTCATCAAAGATTTGGAGGACAACTACAGGCACTGGTCACCCTCTTCTTAAAATAAGCCTATTTTCTTTCTTCAGTAATAAGAAAAGAGAGAAGAGATTCAGATATGATGTGGAACCTTTTCTTGTGTGTTGCGAATAACCTGAATACTTGCTCTTCCATTAGCAAAAATAGGTAAAATCACTCTGAAACAAAAATGAAATATTTTTAAAGATACTCAATTAAAAATAAAGGCATTAGGATGAAACTTAACTACAACTCTTTAACCTATTCAAAAAATGTTAGGGACTTCAAATTAATTGCTCTAAGGACATTTTAATTAAAATGGTAGCCTTCTGCGCATTGTTTTAGCCTCACTTTTCTGTTAAGTTTCATGTGTACAGTGGTTCATGTCACACCTGACATGATTATTTTGTAAGTTGACTAAAGATACTTTTCTCAACCAGTGAGGTAAGTCGAGCATCATATTTCAAAGTATCTACCAGCAAGAGTTTTAGAAACACCTCCAGATGGGTTTTATTACTTCTGTGGTGATTTTAAGATGATAATCTAAAAAGAAAATGGAATGTATTGAGAAATCAACATTTGAGAACTATTGTACAACTTTTTTTTTTTTTTCTTTGCTGCCAGAGTGCCTGGTATTGTGTCTGATTATTCAGTCAAATTATGCATTATTTATTTATTGAATTTTTCTTGATATTATAATTACAGACTGTAGATTAAGAACTGAGACTAAAAAATGGTACTTAGAGTAATTGCTTTGCCTCCCAGTTTCTTATATCCTTTTAAAGGAGTAGGCAATCCTAGACAAAATGTTTGGTTTTGTTTTGTTTTTTAAATACTATTTCCTTTTTTTCCTTTTATTTTAACATTGCCTTCTGTGTAATTCACACCAAATTGAATAAAGCAACTACATAAATAGGAAGAATATGTACTTAGGTTCAAACGATCTGGTTTTAAATCTTGTTTTAATTCAGAATAAAAATTTTAATCTTAGAGCTTCATTTTAGGAGGACACTTACAGGAGTCAACAATACTCATTATCCAAGGTATAATTTACTGGTTATTTGAAAAAAAGAAAAGCAATGAAAATGTCCTATAATGTTCTAGCACAATATTGCAGTGTTATATAGAGAGAACGAAAGCAGTACATTAGAACTGCATTTATTTTACAGATGATCTATATTCTAAAGTGACTAAGTTTATTATGTCAGCTTCCTCCAACTCTATTGTTGTCTTAGCATCTGGTGTATTTTGTTTTTTTTTCTGCCCTCATCCTGTTCATCATTTACCTTGATTCACAGAAAAGCCCAACTTCTGTTATCATGAAAAAGACCCTGGAATCTGCCGAGGCTTTTTTTCCAGGTATTTCTATAACAAAGAGACAAAAGTATGTGAAATATTCAAGTATGGTGGGTGCCTAGGAAACCAGAACAACTTTAGGAGTTTGGAAGAATGCCAGACTACCTGCCAAGGCAACCGTAAGTTGTTATCTTCGTTATTCTTAGTTTTATTCTTCTATAAACAGCATTGTGTTTTGAAGGTGTTTATCATGGTGAAAAAAATAACCACAGCTTAGGAGGCTCTGAAATGGCAATAATTTGCACCTGAAATTAACGCAATTATATATTTTTAATAATATATTCAAAAATGAGAAATGTAAAATCAAAAGGAAAATTCTATTAAAAATGGTATATACGATTAATTTTAATGAATATGACAGGAATCTCCTTCCTTTTTTATTTTTCTCATGGTAGTTGATTACCCTCATATATTGTAATTCTATAAATCCCTGCAGAAATATGTATGAAACCTTTGTGTAAGAGGGAACTCTATTCATGTTCATAAATCTGCATACTATTTAATATATCTAAGTAGACCAATGCAGACAGATGAAGTAATTGAAGTAACATCTGTTTCTACTGAGGAAGAGCTTTGGTCCACAATGAGTACTCCTTCCTCTTGTACCTTGGCATTAGAGCATCTCATTTCTCCACTATACTTGCTATTAGGAGACTGATGTTACAAAAATGCTTTCTAGAGCAGTCATCTAGAGAAATATATTGTGAAAATATTGATACCTACATTGAAGACAAAGTCTTTATGGTAATAGAGATTATAAAGACAGAGAATGGAGAAATGGATCTGCTCTGGTTGCATCCACATAAAGCTTTTTTTTTTTTTTCTTTTAATCTCAGATATGCTAGCTGCTTGGCTTTATAATGCCATAAAATATTCACATGTATATATTTTAACCCATACATCTGAATATACTCCTTTCAAAGAGATCTTGTGAGGAAAAGATTTCTATTTTTACTGTTTCCCTACCACGGGTTGCTACCTTCCCACCAAAGAACAATGGGAAACCTGTCTCTCAGTCCTGATTGATTCAGCTGTGCAGCTTGGGCTATGAAACAGCAACTTAGACTGACCACAGATCATTCTTCTGCTTCCCTGTCTTTCTCGTTCCTGTGAATTGTTGTGTATCAGAATATAATAACCTTTCCTAACTCCCCTCTGCTTCTCAGGGCACTGGGTTGTATTCATGGGATGGATACCTTCCCTCACCCACAGCCTCCAGGAGATTGAGGAGCCATTGCTGTATTTGCTATAGTTTAAAAAGAAAATGTTTTGTTGATTTTTTTTTTTTCTTTAATGATAATAAAACTTTGATACCTTTGTGTGTTTGTGATTTTCCTCATTATTTTCCTTTCATTTTTCTTTTAGCAAACTTACTGTCACTTGTTCCAGATGAGGAACATCCTGACCGTATGAACAGTAGCTCCCCAGAGGAAGAACACAGTCAGTTTCCTGAAATTTTTGGTAAGAATTTACTTTTGCTGTTCATAGTTGTTGGTTTTTAATGCAAACTCTCCTTGGCTTGTCTGCTCTTTTAATTGTTTATTTGAGGATTTATACATCAGTTGAAATATGTAAGCATAGTGAACGAGGAACATTAGAACTAGCTTTGTGGGCATATTTGTCATAAATAATACATATTTTGAAAGTGTGCCATCACTGCAAGATGTCTGCCAGTAATATAACAACTGTACCAAACCATGTTTAATTTAAATCACACATAAATAAAATGAAAGAAGAAAAAGAAATCCAACCTAAAGTTGCTTTAAAACATTAGTTTCCTCTGCCTTTGGGACTTGAAGGAATGCTGTCTTATAGTAGTATTAATAACAGCATGGAACAAATCAGATGGGTACTAATTTCAGTTTATTTTCACTACTTTGTTGTGTCTAGATAGCCTATCACTTACTATTTCATCTCCCTCCTGCCTTTTTTTTTTTTTTTCCCTTTTAGTAAATTTGTTGCCAACTGCTCCAAATGAGGGAGAGTCCCATACTGTGAACAGCAGTTACCCAGAGGAAGAGCGCAAGCGATTTCCCAGTTCTTTTGGTAAGAATTTCCTTTTGCAGTTCTTAGCTCTCAGTTTTTATCTGTGCTCTTGATTTCTTTTCCATTTCCACTTATTTTCCAGTGTATCTGAGACTAAAGAATTGGTTTTGATCTGTGCCAATTATTTTGTTAAGCAGGGCAAGTCAAAGTGAAGAAATGTATTTCTACTTACATATCTTCTATAGATACCAGATAGTGAAATACTGATCACACCTTGTCCTGTTCTGAAAGTGTGATGCTTCCCAGAAGTGTGATAGGCACAAAGCATTAAAGAGATCAAAAGCCAAAGCAGTGATGCAGAAATCTTTTAGTCAAAATGAATACTTCTGTGGGGTTCTAACTGGCAGGTGATTTAAAGCTCATTTTACAAATTAAGAAAGAATCATTCTTGGAATTTGGGATATACAGAATGTATTTATCATAACACATTTTTACTGTTGTTAAGGCTATGTTAAATTTAGCTCTTGGTTTGATTATAATCAAGGTGAGTGTGAATGAATTTCATGTCTACTTCAAGGTATTTTTGCACTAGTAAGTAGTATAATTTCCACTATAGATTGCTGGTACTTGCTCACAGTGCAAAGCTGGATTGAATTTGAGGCATGTCATTTTTATGATCCACAGTTATGCAAGAGGAAACACGAAACAATTGGGAAAAGACTGAGCATTCTTACCAAGTATTCCTGTTTGTTCTTTTTTTGCATTTACTTATTGTACTTTTGGGTGTTGAATGATGGTTTGAGATTGATCAATGCTTTTGTGTATTATACAGTCTGTGAGATAATGAGCATGTGGAATAACATTTCTGTGCTCCTTGATAGAATCATGTCTAACAAATTTTGAATGTATGATATATTCTAATTTTTTTGCTTGTACTTTGATGATGTACAGTTGGTTTGAGGTAAGTTTCTGAGATAGCTGGATTTTTTCCACATGCGAAACATCAATGCACTCTGCTATTAAAATGACTGAATATAAAACAATAAGCCTCTTGGCAGCTTATTTTACTGAAAAATATTTGCATAATTTAAGACCTGGTAATAAATCTACTGATACAGGATTGTACCTGCTCTCAGATTTTTACTCATAATATGAAATCCCCAGATCCACAAAGCAACTAACTTATAAAAGCAAAGAGACATTATTCACTGTGTTTTCTCTGAGAAAACTGGAGAAAAAAGGAAAAAAAAAGTTCTTGGTTATATCAGCAATGGTGAATTTTGAGGTAAAGCAGATGGTCAGAGAGACTGGAAGGCTAGTGGAAGAAAGGCTGCAGTAACAAGGGTAGATAGAGTCGATGTAGTGGAAAACATGAAATTGGAAGGATTGATGAAATTCAGTAGAAAATATGAAGACCTTACCTTCTTCTCTACTTCGTAATCTTTGCCTGTCTTGCACCAGGCAGCACCTGAAGTTGCAAAGTAGAGCTGTTTCACACAAATATGCACTTTCCATAGACCTCTGTGAGGGATGAGAATATAGTTGTACACATACAAGGTTCAGATGGGCTGCTTGGGGTGGAGTGTCTGATTCTTGTCTTCTCAAGCACAGATGAAGTAGCTGATCTGCTACCAAAACATATCTTGTGTGTTTGTTGGTCTGGCTATGTATTTTCTTTTTTTAAAAATACTTGACTTTAAATAAATAAATAAATAAAATCCAAGGACTTATCAATTTGAGAACACCTCACAATGCAATTGAAATGCTTTTCCTGTTGATTTCAAGAAAAAAAAAAAAAAAACATATTATTGATGGTATGTATAACTCTACCATAATATCAAATTAATATATTTCCAGAAAAATTCTTCATCTTTAGAAGATAAAGTTTTTCCAAGGCCAAAAGAAACTGGTGTTTTGGCATGTAAACATAAGACTAGTGCTCTCTCCCAGCAGTTAACTTTCTTGCAGAGAGTCAATATATTTCTGATGTCATCTAAAACAGATTCTAAGGATGTGAAAGTAAAGGCAAGAATCAAGACTCTTATTTCTAGATCAAGTGAAGTGACCTATGGAAATTAGGAGTGCTGTATAGTACATTCAGCTTGTGAAATCTAAGTGGGATGTAAGATCAAATGTCAGCTTTCCACTCAGTAAGTATGAAATGGCAGAAAGAAGCAGCTCCTATTCTTATTTCTTAAAGTCAGGGCCATATCTTCTGCTGATATAAATTGACACAGCTCTATTTGCTTTAATGGTTCTGCACCAATTTATGCCTAGAGAATACTGTTAAGTGGAGATGACTCATTATTGTTTGTAGCAGTTTGTGTACTTGAAAAGTGTTTTATTATCCCTCTGCTGTAATTGGAATGAGAAACTGAAGTCTGAATATTTAAAAAAACTGGCAGTAAGTCTGAAGTTTCACGTATGCCACAATCCTGTGTTTAGTGAGATTATGGAGTAAGTCTTATTTTCATCTAGCTCATGAAGATCATTTCAAACGTCTTTAATATTATAATTAATTAACAGTTCATTGTCACACATTTCAACCCCAGAGAAGCCTGAGATAAAGTGCTTTTTGTTGCAAATTAAGTTTGAGATTTTTTTTTTAATAAATACGAGTCCATATCTAAATGTAAATGTTTCATAAATTCCTTAGTATGACCATATCTCTTGTTTACATCAGAGGGAGGGCTGTCTGGGATTCAAGAAAAGACATTATTTTAAGACTTGTATTTTAAACTGTGAGCTTTAAAAGATTTCTGGGTAACAACTTGTAGGAAGCTGTTGGATGTCATTCACCTATATGAATTCTGAATTCTTTTTTGCCATGCCCATTCGTGACCTGACTTTTATCACATATTTTTTGCACATAATATGCATAGTTAATCTAAGGTTATGATCTTAGTATTGAGTATTTAAAACCTATTTAAATGAGATATTTTGGATAAACAGAACAGGATGAACACAAGCATGAAGACAGTCTTATGGCCTTGTTGATGTCAGTGCAAATATTGGTTTGATTTTTTTATGAAATGAATCAATTGCCATAGGATCGGCTATGTGACTCCATACATAATGAAGTTAGAAAGCATTTCATGACATTTGTTACTTTGTGGCTTCGTATGATCCAAAAGATGTTGATGTGTTGGCATGTGGAATGTAATAAATAATGCTAAATGCAGTGTAAAAATGGTATTGGTAAAGCACAATCTAAACTGAGAGCAAAGTAAATTAAAAAAAAACACTTCTATCTGGACTAATCTCTCAATGAACTTGACATCTGTAATTAACTCATACAAATTTAATGATTACATTAGGGGAAAATATTTCTGGAAGTGGGATATGTGTTGGCAGTTTTTGTTTGTTTTTATTGTTTTTAATATATATCCCTTAGTCTCTGCAATTTCATCATTTGTAGGATTTGCTTATTTCTTTTTTTTTCCTCATAGAAAAGCCAGGAGATAAAAACCATTTCAACAATTTTCAGAATTTTGCTATATGACAAAATTAAGAGGTTTTCTTCATGAGTTGATTGCTTCTGTCAGTATGAAAAATATGCAGATACTTTGCAGATGAGCAGAAATAATGTTTTAGCGTCTTGGGCATTTTTCTGCTGATCTAAACAATAATATTTTTAGGAACAGTACAAATTTAGAAACAAAATACAATACGTAATCTTTAGAAACAGGGATTCTGAAAAGCATTTGGATGCCACTCTGCCAGTTGCTTTATACATACTATAGAAAGTCCTTACTTATCAGTTACCAAAGCTCCAAAAGCTTTAATTGTTGAGAACCCCTGCATGAGGGGACTTGGGAATCTCTCTAGAAAATCTACATACCAGACAAGGAGTTTGTATTACAAGTATATATTTCAATTCTATTATAATTAACAAAACAATTTAATTTACCTCCTTCATCACTGGAAAACCTTTGTATTGCTATAAAATAGGTAAGCACATTTTGTTGTGTTGGGTGGCTTTTTTTTCTTGATGTTTCAAAAAATTTATTTTGAATATTAGTTTCCTTCCAGCTACGGTGTCATGAAAAAATCAGCCTTCTGTGAATGGTAAAAACAGCAGCCCTAAAATCACCAGCATTGCAGTTGTTTTGAGCACTTAAATCTTTGCATTCAATCATTTGTTTTTCTGCAAGTTAGAAGCATTTTCGTGATGATTGCTCGGCATTCTCCAATAGAACAAACTTTGTTACTTAGGTCAAGCTTTCTATATTCTTAAAAAAAAAAAAAACACCAAACAGAACAAACAAACAAACAGTAAGGTATTGCATCTTAAATAAAAAATGCTATGCATGTATATCATTCCAAAAGTAATGCTTCCTTTATTTCCTTGGAAACTACGATTTCTACAAAGAGCACAATAGTGCTAAGTTGGCAGAGCAAATTCTCAGCTACAAAACAGTTTTTCAGCGTAATCACCACCACTGGCTATATGCATTTTCACCAGCAATGAACAAGAGCCTGCATGCTGTGCTTTTAAAAATCTACACCAGTGAAGATGACTTGCTATCGCCACCGCTAAAAAGCACCACACAATGTCTCACTGTGCTCTCATCCACTGTTTGGGCTCCAGAAGCATTCACAAGTATCAGCGAATGTCAATGAGTACCATTTTTTTCCACAGGGAGAAATTCAGCATCACACCTTCTGTCATACGCACTTCCATGTCAGAAGCCATTTTGTCAGACTGTCCCTCTGCTGCCATCTGTTGCATGACAACAAAATGTGACAAAGTATTGGTTGGAAGGTTCATCCTCTGGTGCCACACCACTAACATCCATCACTGACATAATGGGCCAACAGAAGAAAATAGGAAGCATTACTTTCAGAGCAGCCCTTCTGTATGATTTCAGAATATTAGTTAGTAATTTAGAAAGTTCAATTCTCGATTATCATCAATATTTACCTTTTTTTTAAAAAAAAAAAAAAGCTGTCCTGGTTCCAGTTCTTTTATTTCATATGAATATTTCTTTTCATTTCATATTCTACAAGCATATTTCTTGTTTGAATTGAATTTGAATATTATCTCCTACCACAGAAATATTGATTTTATCTCTAAATGCACATGAACCAAACCTTGCTTTCAAGTAAAGTTTAGTTTGCTTTTTTAAGTGAAAGAGAGAATAATATTTGCTGTTATTTTTCATGGTCATAAAATGGCAAATGCTTATGCTCAGTATCGTGGATTTTCAGAAGGACAGAATTAAATTGGCCAGTAAATTTTGTAGGTTTCAAGGTTGTGAAAGCTTCAGTTCTCATGTAAAATATCAGCATAACAAAAGCATGACAGTGGTGTATAACCTTGTTTTTTCTGGTATTTCTAGAACCACCTCCTATCCCTTCTTTGTGCATGACTCCTATGGATAGAGGACTTTGTAGAGCTAAAGAGACAAGGTTTTTCTTCAACTACTCAACTGGAAGATGTCGTCCATTTACCTACAGTGGTTGTGGTGGGAATGAAAATAATTTCACCTCCAGGAAGTCATGTTTAAGAATCTGCAGGAAAGGTATGGGAACTGATATTGCCACAGACTGTCAAAAAAGGCAAGTATTATGCGTGCTATAGGCTGAAATATTCTTGCAATTTTTAGTAGTAAGTATTGACCTGATAGAATGTAATAGCTGAAAGTACTGACAAAGTGCAACTGATAATCAGAAGAGAGAGCTAGAGAGAGAAGGATGGACACTAAAATCTGTGTACAGAACCGGCTGCTTAACATTGGTCGGGCATATGAAGACTTTAGGTAAGACTGAATGTTCCTTTTTCTTTTCTCAAGGATTTTTCCTGAAAACAAGACTTGTCTCATTTTGGATAATTGTGAATGTTAGTCACGCAGTCTTAACTTTGTCATTTTACCTTTAGGACTCCTTAAAAAAAAAGATGGAAGAAGATTAATACGAATCAAGAAAAAAAAGAAACAGTCACTAAAGACTGTGGGAGAGGAAATCATCCGTGGAAGAAAACAACTTTAATTTTTATGAAAATGGGAAGTAAACTGCTATTCACCTGTGAATGAAAGCCTTTAGAATACACCATTTAAATATATTTACTGTACTGATTATTTTGATTGCATTTATTAAGCTGTTTATATTTTTATTATGTATGCCTCATTTGTGTTAATAAACATTACCTTGTACTTTGGAAAAGAGCTCTTAAAATGCAGTTTGACAATGTAATTACTAAAGCTGAAAAAGGACATAATGGGCTATGTGGGTGTAGAACTCACGATTAGAAAGTAGGAGAGGTTCCAATTTACTTTATTTCCCCATTCTTTTCTGAGATCTATTTTGGTCTTAAAAAAAATCTTGTCAAAGAGTAATCACTTGTCATACACAATTATTTCAATCCTAGATTGAAACATTTATTGCTTAAAAGAGGAAATAAAAACTCAGTTTGTTTTTAACAGATTTATTTTAGGTTATGCAAGACTCCATTGAAGTGCATAGAATGACATTGTTGTGCAATGAATGTGAATTGGAATTAACTCATTGAACCCATTAAGAGAGTATTGCAGTTGTGAATGTATGAAACGATGCGACAGATATTTATAAAAATTTTAATATATTTGCTAGGTTCATCGATTTTTATCCTTGTTACTGAAGTAGATGGGTGGCTAGCAAGTTAATAATTTGTAGCAATACATGTTCTTACTAAAAAAAAAAAAAAAGGAAGAAAGAAAATGAAGAAAAAACAACAATCCCCGTTCATGGATGAGGAAATCCATACATTTGCTTCAGATGTAATGGTACGTATGCTTTCCAGTAGACTTTGTTGGTTTGGGGGTTCTTTTGTTTCTGTTTTTGATGACTGTTTTTTTTGTTTGTTTGTTTTCCTTGTTATTGTAAGCTTTGGTTGTTTGTTTTAAGACTGACATGAGACAGTGGTTCAGTTCCTGCTCTTCTCTAATACATCCCTCTGATCTTGGGTAAATCTAGCAAGACTTTTTTTTAAAGGAAAGCAAAAATAGTTGGTTTCCTAGAAAGGTTCTAGAAGTACCCTGCAGCCTTCCCTGATACTGAAAATCTTTTTGTATGTATCACATTTTCTCTTGAGGCTGAAGACTATTGAGGATACTTAAACCACCATATTTGAGAGGTAGCATGAAAATAAATACCTGAAATAGATGTGATAGTCTCAGACACTACAGTAAGGAGCAAGGAAAACAATGATAGAATATCAACGTTCCGCTGGAGTAACCTGCTTTTGCTTGAGCTCTGTGAAATGCATGTGATTTCAGAAAACGTGTGTTTTTATGTACCCAGCAAACTTTGAACTAACTCCCCAAAGAGGATACGCTTGACTGCTAAATATGAAAGTAGTTTTGTGTTCTGAATCTAAGGGGCAAAGTAAAAGCCACAGATATTTATACAGCAATTCTCATTTCTGGTGCCCAAATCTTGTAATGACTCTTAATCTAAGATTTATCAAGTGTGATTTGATCTTCCTTAAATCAATTCTCAATGAGATAATAGATATGCTGAATCCCAGAAAGTGTTCAAGGCCAGCTGATCTAGTACAATATGTGCCTGCTCATGCCATGGGGTTGGAACTGGATGATCTTTAAGGTCTCTTCCACTCCAAACCATTCTGTTGTTCTATGATTTCAGAGATAAATGTGTAAAAAAGAACAGATGCATTTGTAAACATCTTTTGTTATTCATATGTCATTTCATGATAGTATCTCTTTTCTCAGGCTCTATTTTGGTCAGCAACTTGCCCCTGGCTGCCTGGATTCCACAGCTACCAAATCCAACACAGAAGTTTAGGAAAAATTATCCTTTCTGCCCAAGTAGAAACCTGGCTCTGTGGCTGCTTCCCATTCTGAGTCTCCTGCTTGCTGAGTTCTGCAAACTAAAAGATTCTCCACGCCAAGTGCTCAGTTGCTTTGTGCTGTCTTCTCTTCTTCCAGAACTGCAGTAGCTAAGGCAGGACTAACAGGTACTCCCCTGTGCTCCCTTACTCATTAGTTACAATACAGTACAGAAACCACACATGCATTTATTCTGTGATAACAGTAACTGAACAAACGATCATTTGAGGGATCTCTTCTGTCATTGCTGGGAGAGAAAAAGACTATTGAGTCATGGCATCTCAACATTAATTAGCTGTGCTAACCAAGAAGCCATTACAAAGATATTTATCTTTTAGGCTTATTACTTAGTGCAATGAGGAAGAAAACTGGCATGTTATATATTATAAGAGAACTGATTTGATTATTATCAGAAATTTGATGTGGGTGCTGGGTTCAGCCACGATACCAATTACCCAGCTCAGTCTTCCTTATGTTGTTTTTGCATAGGTGTAAAATGCACTGAATCATTTTTTCCTGTAAAATGACCACACTGGTATGATCTGATTGTGTCTTTATTACCTCCAGTTTTGTGTTCTTCTGATTCATTCATTTCTTTTCACCACTGTATTTTCAGTATCTGCATAGCAACCACATGCAAGAATAATGAGATCACTGCATTTCTCAAAGGCAGTATGAATGTAATAGGGGGAATAGTTGGGTCATAGCACAAGAAATAACTGATAGGGAATTAGATGTCAGAATGGTGAAGAGCTTAGAATGTAAGGCTAACAAGTCACAAGTTACTATGTACATTTTTAATTAACTAGAGTCCATTAATTTAGAAATTTCATTCCAGTTTCTGCTCTCATTGCTTTGGCACAAGTATGTGCATTGCTGGGAAACTTGCACATTTTGCCCACGTTTCACAAAGCTGAAGCAGTGAAGTTAGAGGCTGGGTGGTTTTCCATGTGTAACTTGGTATGTGTCCTCAGTCCATGCAGGTGATGAAACAAAATGTCTGAGAAATAATTTCACATCTTTTAGCCCCTGTTTTTACTGCCATGCCCTTCTTTTTTCTCCTTTTTACTTTCTATCCCTTGTATCTTTTTTTTTCTTTTTTCTCCCATATAAAAGAAGCTTTCTATCTGCATCTCCTATCCATCAAAAATAATATGTTTATTTAGAATTTAATGATGTTTTCATCCTCCTAGAATCCACTTTTGAAACGTTTTAATGTAGACATAAAGATGACGTTTGATGATATGTTCTGGAAAAGAATCACATTTGGATATACATTTGGAGGTTTTCAGTGTTTGAATATGAACTGTTTCATAGGCAGCATATTACCAAATGGGGGAAACTTCCTTTTGAACCCGTGACGATTCCCGTTCGGTTACTGAGGCTTTTGCTCACGGAGCTCTTTTACCATTTACGGGACCGTGCGGGAGATGGGCAGACAACGTCCTGTCCCCACGGAGAACGTCTTTATTCCCGATTTCCCGAGCCGGCGAGGTCCTTGGGGCCCGATGTAGGGAGAGAGGAGCAGAGGCTCGGCCGGCCGCTAGGTGGCAGCGCCGCACCGCACCGGGGCCGCCGCAGCAGGAGCGGGCTGGCAGGTGCTGTTCAGTGGTCCCTGTGTCGGTGGGGTTCTGTCCTGGGCGCTGCTGTGCTCTCCTCTGCTCTGCTCTGCTCCTTTAGCGCCTGGGAGAGGCATTTGTAACAACCACAGCGAAAGTTTCATAGGCCCTCATTAGGAAAACTATTTATCCTTGAGCTTCTCCCATCAGATCAAAACTCGTGATAAGAGGTGGAAATAGTTTAATTTTTCATCCCAAGGTTTTAAGCTTTGGTTGAAGCACAGTCTGCTGTTCCTTAGGCCTCTTTTGAAGTGCTCCCACCCACGCTGCTGATAGCAGGGAGAGCTATACGACTCCTTTCAGCCGGAGAAAAGGGGTAGCTGAAGTAGTGTGGGAGCCTGCCGTGTCTTTGAAGTGCAAATTACAGCAGCTGAGACGTCTCAAATACCTGTAGAGTAGGAGTAAAAAAGTTTCAGTGACAGCTAAATAAGTAGGGTATAAGAAATTAGAACTTAAAAAACAACAGAAGCCCACACAACTCTGCTGAATTTGATGTGCCAAATCAAACGTGGTCTATGTAATAAATCTCTGCAATTAATTGAGATGTTGAGCCTGTCTCAAACATACGTACTTAGCTGGAATATATGGATTATTTTCTAGGTTACAGTGTGTAATGTACCATATTGCAGTCTTTTACTCAGACCTAATTGCTCTAAAATAATGCAGCCAGTCTCACTTCTAGTGGAATTCCACCACCTGAGGTGACCTTGCTTATTTCAGACAATTTAATTTCCATCACTACTCAGAGTCAGATCTAATCCCTGTCTTATTTCTGTTTACATTGTTTAGAGGTTTAGAATGCCAGTTCTTCATTCCTCACTGATTATAAATCTCATTCTCCCATTGATGGAAGATCTTAGAAGCACCAACATTTGCATGTGCTAAATGAGCGTTAAATTCATATCCTGCTGTTTTATTAGCCCCAGAGTGCAATTTCAGAATTTATACTGTCCAGTGACTGAGTTTAAACTGTTCTCTTTTTCCCTTTGCTCTCTTTCAAACTTTTGTGATCCTGGCTTGGTTTTTGTTTTTGCTTTGGATTGGGTTTCTGGCTGTTTTCATTTTTGGAAAAAGGGTTTTCAATGGCCAGATGTGTTCTCTTCTCCATTCTGCATGTTCCACAAATGTTTCTGCTGGTAGGATAGCGGATTAACAGTGGGTACTAAGAAGCAAGTAGAAATACTTCAACTTGTTTCATGAGCAAATTAAATCATTGTGATTTTCACAACCACGTAGAAAACCATGACTTTCTGGAATGTGTCCCATGCAGGTTACTGGTGCTGTAGGTATTTCTAGTACTTGAGATCAATGCTGCATGATCTCCCCGTTTGTTCAGTGTAGCACTGCTGTGTGTACATGGCATCTATTGATTTGGAGAGCACGGATTGCATCTGTAGCACAGGTATCAGTTGTTCAAAGAGGAAGCAATAAAAGCCCTCGAGGAAACGTTTTTAGGTCCTGATCTAAGCTTCTCTGCAGTTAGGCTAAGGATTGTCAGCTGTTCTGCTTTGTCTTGAGCTGTGGCAGTTTTCAAACTGGGCATCTTGTACTTGATCCTTTGAAATCAGTGTATTTAAATATAGCTGGAGTTCTGTGCTGCAATAGTAATATGCTGCTTTTTTCATATCCTTGGTATTTCAAAGGCTTGTTTACTTAATGTTATGCCGAAGCAAAATTACTGTGTTGAAGTGGTACTTTCCTAGTTTAAGCAAGTGCATAATTTACATGTGACTCTGCACCGTAGCACAGTTTTGTATTTGAGGAACACAAGTATTTCTCTATACAGCTTTTCTGTACTGACTCTGGGGCACGATGCAGCCCTGCGGTGTCAGCAGAGGTGAGTCAGGTCACTCAGATTTGGGAGGACTGCAGCTTGTCAGTTCTTTGGCTCTGAAGAAACAGTAATTTAATGACTCATTTCTCGAGGTCTAGTATGAGGAGGGAGATAAGTGAGACAAGTCCTCCAGTCTGCTCTTTTCTGTAGGATGAGCGAGTCTTTTCTAACTCGTCTAGGAGCACGAACCTTCGGCTGGCAGACGAGCCGCAGCAGACCTCGGGAACGGTGCAGGAGCAACGCTGGCAGGCAGAACGGGGCAGCTCCTCGAAACCCTAGAAGAGCCTCGCTTCCCGGGGCCACGCCACATGAGCGCGAAAAGTAATTTAACGCGGGCTGCGGGCGGGGTCTCGGTGATGTAACAGGAAGCTCTGATGGCTCGCTGCTGCCGCCGCTCCTCACTTAGCAGCCGAACCTCTCCCGGCGCTGCCCAGAGCCGCGCTCCTCTGCCGGGCTGTCGGACTGCACCGTGCCCTGCGGGCGCCTGCGCGGCTCCGAGCCGGCCGGGCGGGGAGGCGAAGGAGCAGCTCTCCGCTCTCTCGCTGGGAAGGGAGAGCCAAGTGATCGAGCTCGGAGCAACTCTGCGTGGTGAGTACACGTCAAAACAGTTTCATTGTTTTACCTAAGAACGATGTGTTTCTTGCCGTCTGAACGCGTTTGGTCTTACGTACGTTAGAGGGAAGAGTTAGGTGTGTTTGCATGCATTGACGTGAACCTCAGCATGTGCTGTGCGAGCTGCAGAGAGAAAAGGGTCTCAGGAAAGAGCTTCGTTTATTTTTAGTTACCGAAATGCTGAGCTGATTTTATAGCCGGTGTTGTTTTAATATATATTTGAGGAAGTAACCAATAATAAGTAGAAAGATTGAAAAAAAAATAATCCTAATCATCGCCTAAAGATTTCCTTCTAAAACCCTAATATCAGTTAACTGTATTTCTGACTTTGCATCTGGAGAGAATTAGGGGCATCCTGATTTGAGAACAGTCCATGAGGCTAATTCAGTACAACTGAAGCTCTTTCAAGAGGGGACAAATCAGTTGATAAAGTGGTGCAAATTCTCTTACTGAATGCGCTTTTAATCTTACTGGTGTTATTATTACAAGAAGAGATTGTATCTGAATTATTTCAGTTAGATTTTGCATTGTTATTACACGACAGAAAAGATGAAGCATCGATTTGCTTGAGAAAAAGTTAGGTTGAGTTCAGTGCTTATACATGTGCTGGGGTTTTTCCCACACTCACTGGATTGATTTACTGAAGGGTAGTTGTCTACTATTGAATTGCCTTGAGAAGCTATTGGACAGTGAGAAGCGTGTGATTCTGTGCCTTCCTCTGTATAGTTAAGAGAATTCTGCCACTTCTTCATCTTCTGAAAGCAGATGCAGTATTCTGTTTGGAAAAATACAGTTGTGTGGTTATGATGATCGCCTTCACTACATCTGGTCATCTGCCTGTTGGGGCGAGTAATGGATCTGTAGAATCAGGAGAAGATATTTTATTACTGAAGGACAGTTAAGAACCAGTATAGGTTTGGTATCACAGTTGGATTTGATCTGCAGTGGTTCATTTAGTCATCCATAGGTACATATGTTGAAATAGTAAAAAAAAAAATAATAATAATAATTAGTTGTGGTTTTATTGCTCTCTACCTTAATAAACTTGTGCCAAATAGTTTGGGGCTGGGTTTTGCTCTTACAAATGTGCCAGTGTTGAGTCTTTGTAGTAATATTGTGCATCCTGAGGATCGTGTCATTCATTTGCAACAATAATGCATATAACCTTTTAAAACTGTTCAGGTTCATGATGTACTAAAAGCCTGAACGTGTGTTCTGAGGTCCTTTTGATGTGTTGAGAGGAGGCACGCTGGTTCTGGGAAAATATGAATGAGACAATATTTGAATCTGTATTTTCTTACCAAATACACATGCTGTCACACTGAAATGCTCAATTATAAATAAAGATGTGTATTTTCACAGCATTTGCTTTTGCAATCTGCTTGAACTGTCATTGACTTGACTGTGTGTAGGAGCAGTTCCAAAGTCTTTATCCAGCTTTAAAAACCATCAGCACGAAAGGCGCTTGGCGGCATCGACCAAGGTGGCATTTCAGAAAAATGTGCATGTTGTTTTGTACAAAACTGGCTGCCTGAACATGCAGTCTGGGTGGCAAGGTGGAGAATGGCATTATGTCTGTCCTGTTCAAATGTTGCCATACTCTGAATTCCTGATCATCTGGGTTCTTGCTCTGCATTAAGAAATGTAGTGTTTTACCCTTTGAATATGCTTGTCCCAATAGAATGCAACTGTTGTAGTCCCAATTTACTGAGAGCCAGTGGGAATTTTTCCACTGACTGTCAAAGGGCAGGATATTCCTCAGTGTGGGTATTTTTATGTTGAAGGAGTTACTTATTGTGGTTACAGACATCACCCATCCTGTAACTGGCAAGCTGTGATCTACTGGCAGTTGTTCTTTTAATAATTTTTGCCTTTTTTTTTTTTTTTTTTAATTCCTTGTTAAACGGATCCATATGTCCCATTCTTGGTGACTAGTGACTTACCTGGCTAAAAAATGGAGCCCGCTCAGGGACAGCAGCACTGTTCTGTGGACCGAGTACTGCAATCCAGGTTTAGAGAAGGGTACAATTAAGAACAGAACCGAGAGAAGAAAAGTAGATATATTTCCTTTGCTGGTACTATATTTACTAACTTAGTTCCAATTTTCTGTAAATTTCAGTAAATTAGCTGCTTCCAAAAGCACTTGTAGCATGTGGAAGAGATGGGTAGGACCTGGCCCACAAGACTATAAATTTTACTGATAAAGGATTCAAACCGGCCCAGTCATTTGGAGGGAACTGTTGCTATCAATGTGTTTTTAATATTAAGTGTACACAATGATAATTTAAAAGTATCTATTTAATCACTTCTATAGTAAGTGCTGGACACAACATCAGCTATTAAGAAGAAAATTGAAGGAATCTCTCCAATGAGAAGCCAAATAGACATATTTTTATTTATTTTTCTTTTTTCTTTTTAAGTAGAATTTCTCTTTAAGAAGTAGCTCTCACGTGTTCCCAATGCATTTATGGTGTTCACGATCTGCTAGCAAAATTCCTTCTGTGCTTCTGATCAGCAGTCGCCCCTACAGAGCACATACGCAGTGCTGGCAGCACCGCAGCGCTGTGGTCACCTCTGCTGTAAGGCGGGTGCTGCTGTGTGCAGGGGCTGCCTTCCTTTAGCTTTGTGCCCTCTGAAAACAGTTGCTTGTTCCACGTAACAGTTCGTGTAACTGTTGTAGCAAATGGTCAGAGTGCTGGAGCTGAGTTCAGTTTAGCTGTATCCTTATATTATTGTTTTTATACATGTGCGCAAAGTATCTCGTGTTGATTCTTGATGTACCAACTAAAGAGGGAATGTATGTGTTTTGAAGGAGATGCACAAAGTAAATGAGCCTCATACCTTGTCCTTTGTTTAGAAAACGGTAAGTAGTTGGTATTGCTTTAAATTGGCCGCATCTGAATGTTGTATTAATATTTAAAAGAAGGAGGAGGAAGCTTTCCATGCGTGGTCGAAGCCCCCTCCCCCTTTTTTTTCCTGTTATGTCTCATGTTAGCAGTATTACTGTATTGAATGTCTTTTATTTTTTATTCTGATTGCCAATGTAATGCATCGCACAAAAGGCAGCAGAAATGAGCCTATTACTTATCTTCATGATAAGTACCTATTATTTTCGTGGAAAAGTCCACAGCCAGTACAGTATAATATAATATCTTAATAAAATACTGTTAGGAAAATAAATTTCTGTTAGCAGCATTTTTTAGTCCTATTTTAGAATCAAAACAAAAAACTGAATGGCTACATTTTAGAATTTTCAGTTATTTTTATTTTTACAACCATCTCTCCTGCACGTCTGCCTTTGTCTCCCAACCTTGTTTATAATGTTTACATTTTCCCAGCAGTCATTCTTTTTCTGCCTTCGTTCAGTGCAAACACTTTCAATCATTGCTGCAGTATATGCTGTCCAAAAGAACAGGAATGATTTATTTAGAGTTGCTTTTCCTTGGAAAGATGCATTTGAAATCCATTTAACTGAATGTAATGCATTAAAAACAAAACAAAACTTTCCATGAGAGAAGCACTTACTTCAGGGAAAAGAAAGCAGATTCCTAACTGGTGTAAATTTGTATGTCTCCCTGAAGCTGTTACCTTTAAATATAACACAGATATCACCCAAGAATTTCTGGTGGTTTTGGCCAGTGTTAACCTGTGGCTGACAATTAAGATACTAACCAAATTTTAGGAAAGCAAAACCAACATTGTATTTCTGGATTTGTGCCTGGAGCATGAAGCCCTTACTTCAGAAAATATCCCAAACAAAATTAGTGACAGTGCTTTGTTTAATAAAGCCCACACCAGTCTCACTTCCCTTATTATACCAAGGACAAGGAACTAAACTTCAGTGAATTTGATTTTTTTTTTTTTTTTTTTTTCCAAAGCAGCTACTCTGTGTACAGCATTCCATCAGCTGCATTTAGGCTGTGTATCCTTTCAGTTCCTAAAACTGTATCTTCCTTTAAAAGCATATTGGTTTGTAATTCTGAGCCTGAAAAGTGTACAGCCATTTAATTTAAGTAGTGGCAGTGCTGATAAAGTTTTATGAAGGTAAGCAGAAGATAGACTGTGCACTGTTGTTCTCTGCAAACTCGTGCATTTTAGGCTTTTCTTTCCTGCATTACTTTCCTGCATGTATTTATGTATTAATTTAATGCCATAAATAGAGGGAAAAAATGTGACTGCATTCTTTTCTTTAATTATCTTTACTTAAAGGGCATGATCTTGTCCAGATTATCCTGAAATGTTCTTATATGGGATATCTGCCCTTTTTTCCTCATAGTGAAATCCAGCAGGTGTCACTCTGGGGATTAAATAAGGAATATTCCACAAAGAGATGTAACTTTGTTTGGGAGATGAGATGTTGAATTTGAAATATTTATTTCAATATATTTTTTCCAGGATAACTTTTTGACCATGCCTTTTTCATTTTTAAATGTCTTTTCTTTTTTAAAATTATGTGATTTAATGAGTCTGATCTTTCTGAGTATCCATTTGAACAGGAAAACCCACACATTTGTATTGCACTATTCAATGAAAAGTTTTATTCGTAGGTGTCAAATCTGAGCCAAGGAGAGCTGGGAATCAGTTAAGCGTTGCCTTTACTAAAACATGTTTTTGTGTTCTTCCCTGGGAATCAAAATTACTTGTCAGTGGAAATTCTATTTGCACAAGTGCTGTTTGTTATTGAAACAGTCCATGTATTGGTTTCTATTTAAATCCAAAAACTGACATCACAGATAATTATCCCAACATTCAAAATACTTGGAGAAGAGAAGCTTTTTCGCGTTGAAGCAAGTCGCTGGTATGAGAAATTCAATGCTGTATGTTTTGTAATGGGAAAAGAAGGGCTTTTTTGTTGTTTTTGTTTTACCTCTGTTGCACACAGTGTATCTTTAGAGTTGAGTGTAACAGCGTGTTGCATTTCAGTGGATTTTTGCATTAGTGGATGATTCTGTAGTCTAAGGGTCCTGTATAGTACG